TGTTTGGCACTTAATTGGTAATTAGTGACCTTTAAGAGGATAATTTCTATAAGGTGGTATGAACCAAGGCCAAATTACATTAAGTTGAAGAGTGAGTAGGTGGGGAGATGTGGAGGTAGGGAAGGTAGACTACTCTTTCCAGAGGTCTGAGGGAGGACTACACTCATTAGAGTGGATGAAAGCAAAATAGGAGTTAATCACGCTTGCTTTAAGTTAATATTATACTATTGGGGATGATAACAAGGTGTTAAACTAACTGTAAAAATTCAGGCCATGCCAGATGATTCCTTTATGAGGTACAAATAAGTACCTGAGTGAATCAGAAGGGAGCAACTATACTGGTGAATTAGGAACCACACCCCAGGGCGACTCTTAAAAAGATACAGTCCAGTTAGTTTGAGGCTTTCCAGGCTTCCTGATGGCTGCCGTGGATAGAATGTTGGGCTTGGAGACACAAAGATTCGAATTCAAATCTGGCCTCACATATTTACTAGCTGTGTGACCCTTGGCTGTCTGCCTCAGTTTTCTCAAATGTAAAATGAGAGTATTAATAGTACTTAGCTCATAGGATTGTTGTTGAGGATTAAGTAAGATAATATTTGCAAAGGGCTTAGCAAGGTGCCTTACACATGCTTAATAAATATTTGTTCCCTTCTCTTTTCCCTTCTTGATAGCAAGATTGCTTAGGCAGATCAGGCATAAGGAGTATCAGGACAGAAACGTGTTACTGATCCATAAGGAACACGTACAGCTAAGAATACTAACTCAACCAGCCCAGGGCAGATTAAGTGCTCATGCCATTTACTACTAAGAAACCTCACTGGAACATCAGGTTCACTCTTGAGTGATAAAATTTCCTCTGAGCCCCTGCAGAACATGGGCAACCTTACATTTCTCCAATGAACCCCTGAACCATTCAGGGCAATACAAATGGATATCTGCATTCACCCTCTCTCTAGGACAAGCAGGTTAACCTGAACCATAACTCCATCCTCCCAAAAGACTACAACCCTAAGGTGGTAATCCTTTATCTCTTTTTTCCATTGGGCTCTCTAATGGAAGCCCAAAACCTTTCCATAGGAAAGTCTGGCTACCTTTCTATATTTTAAATTTTAAAAGAAGAGAGGAAAAGAGAGATCTAACACAGAGAAGGGTGCTATCTCCTCTGGCTGGCCGCAGCTAGTCAGAAATTCTAGAGTTACAGATCCCTACATACAATTTCCCAGGACAGATAAGTAGTGTTTATATTGGGAAACCCATCTACAGAAGGTAAAGAGTAGGAAGAAAGGAGGTAAATAGGAGAGGTTGAACAATCTTAACACTGCTACAACTGTTTGCAAGCTTTCTTTGTTTTTCTTCCAGTTCTGAATAATATATTTTTATACACCTCAGCTCATTTGAGGGTTTTTAGCCTTCTAGACACTAATCTTAAGCTGATGCTACTCTTTAGTAATTTTCTTTTGTTATGTATGTCTCTCTATCTTTCTAGCTAATTTCTGAGAAAGCAAAAGTAATCGTAAGGGTAGGATTAATTTCCACAACTTCAAAACCGTGACAACTGTCTATCTTCTGGCATACTCTTTCTTGAACTTTAAAAGGAGGGAGCTGCTAGGTCAAATAGAACTTGCTTTCCACATAGAATCCTTCTCTTTTAGTTCAAATGCAATTTATATAACAGCTCCATGTTCAGTTTAACTTTTACATTGGTGGGAGATTTGAATTCAGGTCTTCCTGGTTCCAAGGCCAACTCTCTATACAGTAATTGTTATTGCTTGTCCTTTGTTCTTGAAGAGGACCAAGGTATCAGGAAGGTGATGCCATGACTTGTAAGTGAATTGGATTTAAGTGAGGGATGGCTATGCAAAGTCACATAGAATCTTTGTCTTTTTGTTCAAAGGCAATTTACATAACAGCTCCATGTTCAGTTTAACTTTTACAATGGTGGGAGATTTGAATTCAGGTCTTCTTGCGTCCATGGCCAGCTTTCTATATACTAATACCATAAAACTGAATCACATCTTTGTAAGAAAGAAAAGGTCTTACCCACTAACCCACTGTTGAGTGCCCCACCCTCAAACACTCCAGATAAATAGGTCCAAGTATCAGAAAAAAGAAGCAGGCCACAATTAAAAGAGACAGCGATAAGCAGTGGGCACTGACTGAAGCCCCCATCTCCTCTGCTTTCGGATTGCTGAAGAAGTTTCTGTATACTGAAGAAATCACAGATCCAGTCCTTATCCCCTCTAAGGTTTACAGAATGCTTTCCTCACAACTACCCTGGGATATTGGCTGTGCAAAGATCATAATCTCCATTTTGTTATGGTTCAGTTGTGTCTGACTCTTTGCGACCCCATTTGGGATTTTCTTGGCCAAGATCCTGAAGTGTTTTGCCATTTCCTTCTCTAGCTTATTTTGCAGATGAGGAAACTGAGACAAACAGGGTCAAGTGACCTGCCCAGGGTCACATAGTTAAGTGCCTGAGGCCAGATTTGAACTCAGGAAGATGAGTCTTCCTGATTCCAAGACCAGGCTAAGTGATTAAATGGATTATTCAAGTTTATTATCAGAGTTTAAACTTGAACCCAGGTCTTCTAACTCCAAAAACAGTTATCTTTTTATTACTATTAATAAAAATATCAACTTGCCCACTTTACATCTATTAATGTATGACTTAAAAAAAAAACCTTAGTCACTGTGGATAGTACTCTTCCAGGTCGTTTCTTAATTTTCAATTATTGTGGCTTACTACATTTCTTTATATTCCTCCTATTTGTCATTTTAATGGCAAATGTATTCTATGTTGATACCACAACTTGTTTGGCCATTTCCCTACCATGGTACATAAAGATTATTTCTAATTTTTTACCATTACAAAGTTATAATTATCTGTGTAAATACAGGGTGTTTTTTCTTTCCTTTTTAAAAGCAATGTCTGAGCATTTGGAGAGTTAGAAGGGACTCAGGTCAACTGATCTTCAAAAATTTTCCCTATAACAAACACAATTGGTCATTCATCCTCAGCTTGAGGACCTCCAGGGAGGGAGTACTACCCACTTCCTAAGACAATCATTTTATTTTTGGACAGCTCTAATAATTATGAAATTTTCCCATAAATTGAGACTAAGGTTTTAAAAAATGAGGTACATGCTAAAGAAATTTTTTGAGAAGAATGAGGACCAAATAGATCCAGGAGTTTGGAAACATCCCACTAGTTCTCATTTGCTTTTTTAAGGTAATAATAATGATAGTAATAATGATAGCTAACATTTGTATACTGCTTACTATTTGCCAGGCTTTGTGCTAAGTGCTTTACAACTGGGGCTCAAATAGAGAATGCATTTTACTGCCTCCAACAACCTTCTGATTTATATATGGTAGACAGACCCTAGTGCCTTTTTTGCATTGCATTCATCTTCATCTCCCTGTTGGATGTCCACTGGTCAGGAATGCTGGAATAAGGCATTGGCTGTATAAGATGGCTACTTGGGTCTTTTCCAGCTCTGAAATTCTGTGATTCTATTAGAAGTTATAAAATTTGCACAGTCACCTAGCCATGACATGGCACTAAAATACATCTATTTTTTGTTTCAGACATGGGGTAGACACCATGTGGATAAGGCAAGTTTGTAACCATTTTCCCCTCAATATGCAAAAACAATACATTTCTAGTCCCAAAGCCTCAGATTTAAATCCTCAGGGACAGGATGAAATGGCATTCAATTTAAGGGTTTTCCCTGAGAAAATATTCTTTGGCAGAAGCCCAGTGCTAAGTATTCTCTTGTAGTATTCAGGGGATTGAAAAAGCAAGTATCTGTGGTTTTCAGGACAAACTTGCAGATTGTTCACACTATAGAACAATGGTTTTCCATCTTCAGAAAGTGCCTCGAATGCCAAGACTTGGGGGGGGGGAGGTGGAGAAACGGTATGACCTCAGGTTCAAGGCTCCTCTACTAGAAATTCTTCACTCCTAACGTCCAACCCCGTACACCTGCTCCTAGAGGCGTAAATAACCAAAAAACGGTTTTGCAATCTCCTCTGGATTATCCACAATGATCTCAAAGTAGTCAAAAGCCTTGAAAGGATTCTCAAAACCAGACCCATTTAATTCGCTAGCCTTTCAAAAATAAATAAGGCTGGGCATCATAGACCTAAAGTGATATTTCAAAAAAAAGGGGGGGGGTGGGAGAGAGAGAGGGGAAAGAGTGGGTTCCTTACACTAGGTTAGGGGCCTGGCAGCCTTGACCCTAGAAGAGCAGGCTGGCTCCAGATCACTCCAGCTGCCCAGAAACCCATCAGTTCTCCTTCTGCCTCCTTTTCTTCTCCTTCCTCCTCGTTCCTCTCCTTTCTCTTTCTTCCTTATGCGCTATCCTCTTTCCTTTTCTTCCTCCTCCCTCCTATTTCTTCCCCTTCTTTTTTCTCCCTCCTCTTTCCCCTTCTTCCTTCTTCTGCAAAAGGCCCTAGCTGAGGAAGTAACGTTTTCTTGGATTTGAAAAAGAAAGAAAAAAGCTACGGTCATCAATGAAGGGAATGGGGAGACCCGGGCAGCCCGGGCTAAGGGGAGACAAAGGGAGCCGGGGTTAGGCGCGGACCCTCTCCATCCTCCCCTCGACTTTCGTCGCCCAAGCCCGCCGAGGACCCAGCGGTCAAGGTGTTCCCCGAAGGCGCAGCCCGGGGGGTGGGCGCAGGAGCCCACGCACGGCCGGCGCACACACCCCGAGCCAGCCGAGGCGGGCGGGGAAGCCCCCTCCCCGGAGGGGCTCGCGCCGAGCGTCCGCGCGCACCCCCTCTTCCTCCCCCTCCCCCATCCCTGCCACCCCGCCGCCGCCGCCGCCGCCGCACCTTACGTGGACCCTTCCCGCTCAGGTGAGTCCTTCCCACGCCTCCCATTGGCCCAGGCGCCGCCGGCTCGGGAAGGCCAACGCCGACGGGTCTAGTTCAGGGTCTAGGGTGGGCGCGTCACTTCCGGTAGCGCGGAGCTTGTAAAACACCCAGGAGAGAAAATGGCGGCTGCAGCGGCGGCGGCGGCGGCGGCGGCGGCGGCTTCGGCGGCTCAGCAGCTCTCGGATGAGGAGCTTTTCTCTCAGCTGCGCCGTTACGGCCTGTCTCCCGGCCCGGTGACGGAGAGCACCCGGCCCGTCTACCTGAAGAAGCTGAAGAAGCTCCGCGAGGAGGAGCAGCAGCCGCCGCCGGCGCCGCCGCAGGAGCAGCAGCAGCAGCAGCAGCAGCAGCAGCAGCAGCAGCAGCACCGGACCGGGGGCCGCAGCGCCAAGACGCGGAACAACAACAACAATAACACGGCGGCCGTGGGGGCGCCGCCGGGGGCGGGGGCGGCCGCGGCCGCCGCCGGCATGGGGGGCAGGCCGCTCTCGGGCGACCTCTCGTACCTGCGGACCTCGGGGGCGCTCAGCCGCGGCTTGGCCTCGGCCCCCGATAACCCGCCCGGAGCCGCGGCCGCGGCCGCCGGGGCCACGGCCGCCCCCGCCCTGGCCGCCGGCGGCAGCAAGGTGCTGCTGGGCTTCAGCTCGGACGAGTCGGACGCCGAGGCCAGCCCCAGGGACCAGGCCAGCGGCGGCAGGAAGGAGCGGGCGGCCCTGCAGTCCCGCGGCGGGGCCAAGCCCGCGCCCCTGGCCGACGGCGAGGCGGGTCCCGGCCAGCCCGCCGAGAGGAGGAAGCCGCACGCGTGGTGGGGGGCCCGGAGACCTGCGTCCGCCCCGGAGCCCCTCGGGGCGGCGGGGAGAGAGGGAGCGCCGGAGGACGCGGAAGAGGGAGGGGACGGCGGCGGCGGCGGCGGTGGTGGCGGCGAGAGGGAGCCGGAGGGCGAGGAGCTGCGCTGGACGAGCCGGCCCGTGAACGGCAGCCGGCTCCTCCCCTTCAGCTGCCGGGAGAACTACTCGGACTCGGAGGAGGAGGAGGAGCAGGACAACGTGGCCGTCGCCCGGCCGCTCTTCAGGGACGACTCGCTGCTCCGGCCCCGGCCCAGGCGCAGCCACGGCAAACCCCCCGCAGGCGTCCGAGGGGAGGCCCCGCACCCCGCGACGGCGACCGCGGGCGGCTGCCCGGGAAGTGACAGGGCCGCCGGCAGTCTAGACCGGAGGCGAGGTCCGGAGGAGGGGGGGGGATGCGACCCGCTGGACTGCAGCCCCATCCCCAGATACCGCCTCAACTCCAAGAAACCGACCCCGCTCCTCCCCGACGGGGACCTGACCCTGGATCGCAAAACCAATAACCACATCGGCAGGGGAGGCTTCCACCTGGACCCCCCCAGGGTCTACGCCAACAGCATCCCGCACAGCTCCCTGGTCGCCTCCGCCTCCTCCTCTCCGCTCGGAATCAATCACTCCAATCACACGGGCTCCAATCATACCTACCTGAAAAACACCTACCAGCAGAAGCTTTCAGAACCGGAGGAGGAACTTCTGCAGCAGTTTAAACGGGAGGAGGTGTCCACCCCCGGGGGCTTCAGTGCCCACTATTTATCCATGTTTCTCTTGACTGCTGCCTGCTTGTTTTTCTTGATACTTGGACTCACCTACCTTGGCATGAGAGGTACAGGAGTGTCTGAGGACCGGGCACTCAGCGGTAAGTATTGGTCGGTGGGTAAGACTCTCTCTTTCCTTTGCACAGGGGCGATTCTATTTTCCACTTATTCCAGTTTACTGCGGGGCAGTGTGGGGTAGTGGAGAGAGAGTCAGCCTGGGTGACTTAACCGCTCTTAAGTCAGAGCTATGTACGTTTCAGAGGAAGGTGCTGATCTGCCTTGGTTGAGAGAATTTGTGAAATCACAGGTCCAGGCTCCAATTCCTAAACATATTGCGATTGTCATTTTACTTTAGGTGACCCTTTTGGATCAGAAACAAGGTTTGAATTGTAAACATCAAGTTGTTTATCAAATGTTATATGTATAGTACAGCCTATTATCAGAATATGTTACCTGTTTGGATTTGAAACTCCTTTACCCACAGATAATGCAGGAAGTCCAAAACACTTCAGAAAAAGAGCAGAAAATTACCTATATGTTGTAAGTAGTATATTCAGTGATATAAGGGAAAGCATTGGATTTGGAGTCAAAAAATCAAATTTGGGTTGTGCTTTTTGCTTCCTGTGTGATCCTTGGGTAAGTCAGGTAACCTCGCTGAGCCTCAATTTTCTTGTCTCTAAGATGAGGGATTGAACTTTGAAGGACCTTCTTTCCAGCTCTAAATATGCTTTCTGCCTTGGAGTTTAATAAGCCTTTTTTGGTAGATAGAATTTTAAAAATAATTGGCAAGTGTTTAACTTGTGGAGCGTCTTATTTAGCGGAAAGCTTCCTCTCAGATTGAGACATCAGGGCTCTTTCAAACTGTATTAAACATGAGTTTCATAGTATTCACTAATATGAAAAAGGATACTTTCATGGAGAATAGAAACACAGCACACACACACACACACACACACACACACACACGTGTGATTTTCTGGAGTTAAAAATGCACCTCTCCTCACCTGGGATGAGTGCTGTTGATAATACAGTTACAGTCATTTGCTTTTCATAAGGAGATTCTTGGCTCTTGGTTACACTGAACAGTTACTATAATATGATTTATGCTCATTCCAAGTAGCTGTAGAACATAATTTCTGGCTCTTTAGCAGGATGACTATTGAGGCCTTTTTGGAAATATGGTGAATTGTTCCCTCTGTACATTGCCCAGAAAAATTATATATAGCAATATAGCAAATCCTATATTGGGTTGTAGGATCATAAATTTAGAGCTGGAAGGGACTCTGGGAGGGTTACTGGTCTACTCCCTCATTTTACAAATTAAGAACTAAGGAAGGCCCAGAAAGTTTCAGGGTTTCACAGGCTCTGATTTCCAATCCAGCATTCATTGCACAGTCCAGAAAGAGTCAAAAAGTAGTGCTTGCCTTAGATACATTTAAATGTTGGTCCTGAAACTGTCAACAGTAATTGACTACTGTTGTGGTATTTTGGAAGTCAGTTCAATAACTGTAAACATTGTTTCTTAACTCTGTGGGAAACATGGTACTCAAGCAGCAGGAAATGTAAAATTAAAAAATAAATCCAGGCTTCAAATTCTACTGGGTTGATATAACATGTACATAGATAAGTAAATACATGATAATTTGAAAGGGAGCAAGCATGGGAAGCGAGAGGAGGTCAGGGTGATCAAGAAAAAGTCCCATGTAGAAGGTGGCACTGAGCTTTGAAGGAGTCTGAGGTAGAGATGAAGAGATATTCCTTTCCAGGTGAAGAAGGCATGGAGATGAAATGCTGGATTTGGGGAAGAGTTGTCCAATTTGCCTGGAGTGCTTAAATGGGAATAATATGAAATGTCTGGAAATGGGGATGAGAGAAAATTGTACAGGGGCCAAGTATGACATGCTGAGAATTTTTTTATTTTGTCTTAGAGGCAAGAGGGGGAGGGACTGAAAATTTTTGAGCAAAGGAATTACATGGACAAACCTGTATTTTAGGAATTTTAATTTGGCATTTGTCTGGTGAATGGATAAGAGAAGGTAAAGACTGGAAGCAAGAAGACCAAGACCATTTAGGCTCTTACAGTGGTCCAGGCACAAGGAGATGAGGAACTGAACTAGGGTGCTAGAGAAGGAGACTGATACAAGAAATATTGAAGTGTAGTCAAAAAGATTTAGCAATTGTATTGATTGTATATGGGAAGGGAATAAGAGGAGACTTCTGAGTTGTAAACCTGAGAGACTTAGAAGGATTTTGTTGCACTAGAAGTAATAGGGTAGCTAGAAGGCAGAGTATATTTAGGGGAAAGATAATGAATTTCATTTTGGACATGCTAAGTTTGAAATGCCTATGGGGATACATAGGTGGAAATAGCCAGCAGGCATTTGGTGATATAGAAATTGGGGCTGGATATGACCCTCACATTTCTTCTCTTTAAGATTTCTATAATAACAATAACTAGCACCTACATAATGCTTTAAAGTTTGAGGGTTTTTTTTTTTTTTTATTAGTGTGAGGCAATTGAGGTTAAGTGACTTGCCCAGAGTCACACAGCTAGTGAGTGTTATGTGTCTGAGGCTGGATTTGAACTCAGGTCCTCCTAACTCCAGGGCTGGTGCTCTATCCACTGCACCACCTAGGTGCCCAATGCTTTAAAGTGTGCAAAGTACTTTACACATATTATCTCATTTGATTCTAAACAATCCTTGGAGGTAGCTATTATTATTGTGCTCATTTTATTGATGAGGAAACTGAGGCACTCATGGGATTGTGACTTTCCCAGGATCACACAAATAGTAAGTATCTGAGACTGGATTTGAACTGGAATCTTCCTGACTGCAATTCCAGCACTCATCAGTTTGGTAGTCTTCTACGGAGAGATAATTGAACCTAGAGGAACCGACAAAATCACAGAGAGAGGGTATAGAGAGAGACAAGAGGGACACCCACATTTTAGGGGGTGGGAAAAAAAGTGGCAATCCAGCAAGAGTGGACAAGCAGGAGAAGCAGAAAAGATCTGTGTTACAGAAGAAGGAAGGATGGAGTAGCCAGGAGGGGGTGAGTGGTCATTAGTGTTAGAAAGTACAGAGAGGTCAAATAAAATCAGAACTAGGAAAAGGCTGAATTTAGCCATTGAGATCATTAGGAATCTTAAAGAGAACAGTTTCCATGGAGTTATCAGGTCAAAAGCCAGATAGCAAGGAATTGTGAAGGGAATGGATGGTGAGAAAGTGGATCTAACCAGGATAGACTATTTTTGGGAAAGGGAGAATTAAATGACCCTTATTTTGAAGGGGATGGCAAGGTCAAATGATTTCTTTATTTTTCAGGTTCATGAGTCCTGCACGTTTACAAGTTGTAAAAACAGATAAGGAAAGATTGGAAGACAGTAAGGAGAGTTTGAAGATGAGAAGAAATGATTAAAGGGGCTAGCTCCCAGCAGATACTGGAGAGACTGGAGTAAAGGGCATAAGTACAGGGATTGGCAGTGATGTGGAAGGCCACTTTTCCCAGATGAAGTGAAGGGTTTTGAGGTGTGAAGTGGGGAAGAAGAGGAAGCACCCAGTGGATGGTCTTGATTCCTAAGTAACAGAATTCTACTGGTAGAGAGGAGTGGAGAAAGTAGCATTGGCTCTTGAGAAAAGGCTTAGAATAGCTGATGACAGTGTGGAAGTCAGTAAAGAAATACTTATTCAATAAAGGCTATGTAAGATTGTGGGCCCAATTGAGGTTAGAGAACATAAATGTGTAGCAGACCCAGGGGTGTGCTGGTAAATGTTTAACAACGGACTGTCTAGAAAACTATACACACAGCATGCTCTAGTTTCATCTTTACTGTTAACATTTTCTCCAACACTTTCTAAAGTCTAGACAAAACTAATAAATGAAGCCCTGACTTGTAGCCTTTGCCTATTTCTGTGATACAAATACTCACATTGAAAATTTAACAATCAGCAAATTTGGTACAAACCATCTCCAGCACACCACTGAGTGGACCCAATGAGCACAGTTGTTTGTAGCATTTAGCAACATGGAGTAGGAGTAGAGAAGTAGATCATAGGGCCAACTAAGAGTTGGGGTTTAGCAGTTGAACCTTTGTCCTAGGATCAAGAGGGAAGCTATGTACACATTTTCTTTGCTCAACAGTATTTGGTTACTAGAATCACAGGTTTAGAAGGGACCTTAAAGGCACTTAATCCAGTTCATAACTGACCAAGAATTCCATCACATCAAATTCAGCAGATCCAAAACTAAACTCATTAACTTCCTAGCAAGTTAGCTGCCACTCTTGACTTTCCTATTTCTACAACATTTTTTCATTAACCTCATTCTACAAATGTTGGAGTTGTTGACCATCCCTTCTTCATGTCCTGTTATCTAATCATTTTCAAAGTCCTATCAGTTCTTTCAAAATGTGTCCTGCATTTGATTCTTCTTAACATTCCCACAGTGTACCTCTTTAATTCAGGCCCTCATCACTTTGTTTACTTATGAACAGTCCAGGAGCTTCCTAACTGCTCTCTCCTTCTCTCTAATTTCCTGACTTGTATCTTTGCCCTAATATCACTATGGGATTAAACATATGTTTTTTCTAAAACATATAATTCAGCGTGTCACTCCCCTGTTCAGAGTTCTCCGGGAGCTCTTTGATTGCTTATAGGATAGGTTCAGAGCTTTCCATAGCCTCAGCTGTTGGGAGTGCTAATAGGGGTGACTGGGGGCTGCAAAGGTGGCAGATATTCTGTTGAGTCCAGATCTGGGGAAAGCTCTGTGGAGGAGCAGACATCTGATTTCAGCCTTGAAGGAAGGGAGGGATTTCAGCAGTTGAAGATGAGGAAATCCTTTCCAGGCGTGAGGGATGTTGTAAGAAAAGCCTTAGAGGTAGAAGGCAGAACTAGATGAGGGGAGTAGTCCATTTTGTCTAGAGTAGAGAGCACATGTGAAATCATGTGAAATCCAGCCGAGACGTGGGTCAGAGCCAGATGAATAACTTTCCCTGTTTTTTCTTATGAGATGAGTGACAGAAATATGGCAGCTGGGCAAATTGTTAGGTATATGCTTCTTAAAAACTTAGGAAGACATAAGCACATTTTAGCACATAGTG